TTTCCTTTTATCTCTGAGTCAAGGGGCTGCCTTCTATCTAGACCTGAGCACCCCTGCTCTGTTTCGGTAGGCAAAGCTTGCATGGCCACTGATTGCTTTTATCTTTCCCTTTCTGTCATTTGTGTTGGTTGGTATCAGTTGCTTCCAGATTCTGGCAATAGATAACAGTAGGTCCTTGAATGACAATGTTTTATTCAACATCATGGTATTTTTATTTTTATTTTTATTTTTTAGAGACAGGATCTCACTTTGTTTCCCAGGTTGGAATGCAGTGGTATGATCACCGCTCACTGCCACCTTGAATTCCTGGGCTCAAGGGATCCTCCCACCTCAGCCTCCTGAGTCGCTGAAGCTACAGGTGCATGCCACCATGCCCGGCTTATCTTTTAATTTTCTGTTGAGATGGGTCTTGCCATCTTGCCTAGGCTGGTCTTAAACTCCTGGGCTCAAGAGATTCCTCTTGGCCTCCCAAAGTACGGGGATTACAGTTATGAATTACATTGAACCACACTGGGCTCAATGTCATTTTACTATAACTTGATGAGAAAAAACATTGATTCCCAGCTAGGGCCACTGTCTGTGTGGAGTTTGTATGTCTTCCCCATGTCTGCATGGGTTTTCTCCAGACACTCTGGTTTCCTCTCCATCTCAAAGATACGCACGTGAGGTTATCTACGTGGTTCCACTGTGAGTGAGCATGGGTGTATCTGAGTGCACCCTGCCATAAGATGGCATCCTGTTCAGGGTGGGTTTCTACCTGGCACTCTAAGCTGCCAAGATAGACTCTGGCCACCTGACACACTGAATTGGAATAAGCTGGTAAATAATTTTCAGACTTACTTTTATTAATTTTTCTTAAAGTGTACTTACAGCCCACATTTATGTCAGTGTTTAATATTCCGAGTGTTTTGGTCTTTATTTAGAAGTTTAATAAGGTGACAGGGTACCATGGCTCATGCTTGTAATCCCAGCAGTTTGGGAGGCCTAGGCAGGCAGATCACCTGAGGTCAGTTAAGTTCAAGACCAGCCTGGCCAACAGGGTGAAAACCCATCTCTATTACAGAGATACGAAAAATAAGCTGGGCATCATGGCAGGTACTTGTAACCCAGCTACTTGGGAGGCTGAGGCAGGAGAATCGCTTGAACCTGAGAGGTGGAGGGTGCAGTGCGCCAAGATCACACCCCTGCACTCCAGCCTGAGCAACAAGAGCGAAACTCTGTCTCAAAAAGAAAAAAAAAAAAAGAGATTTAATAATGTTTTTGTGACCAGAAATGTGCCGTAGGAACTTATTTCTTATTTATATTAATTATACTGGGGTAAAGTTGATTTTGTTATATGTTATTTTGCTTAAAATTGCTGTTTTCAAGAATCTACATCTGACATTAAAAGAGGATTTACTATACTTGTGTAGGGTGTCTAAAAATTATACAGCATAATTCAGTATTCAGAAATGAGGCTCTTTTTCCCTTTCTGTTTCTCCCTGCCTTTTCCGGGGTGATGTCTGGGCTTGGGAGGACGCTTTGTAGCATCATGGCCCGGGGATGGGGGTGTGTGCATCTGGTCCTTGCTGTTCTCTCAGAGGCGTCCTGTCCTGGATGGTCTGTGGATATGGGAAGCCAGCCAGGGTGTCTGCAGATTTGTAGCTGGTCCCATTTAGCCTTTGTCATCTGCCAGCAGATGCTGATGATGTATGTTGTCCCTGCCACATCCTCTCTGGTGGGAGGCTCTTTGCTACCCTCTCTCCTTCAAGCCACAGGCCAGCCAGCCATGGGGAATTGTGTGTGTGTGTGTATGTGTCTCTGTGTGTGTGTGTGTGTGTGTGTGTGTGTGTGTGTGTGTGTGACTGGGTGTAGGGGGAGAAGGGAGAGAGAGACAGAGAGAGAGAGACCACTTCAGGCCCTGTCTCCCTGTCAGCATGCCACACTGCCTTTGCCGCTCTGCAGCTGTCATGGGTGAATGGAGATGTGTGCCTGCGTGCGGGGTCTCCCCTCAGTTCCAGGTGTACAGTGAGGAACAGCTCACTCTGCTCTGGGTTTCTTAATCCTCTTCAGCAAGTTCTCTATGCAACTCTAGGATTTCACCTCCAGGAGCTGTGCCGGGGAGTAGCTTAACACTGTATCACTTGTGTCTACTCCAAACTCATCCCTTTTGCTGGTTTCTAGGTCTTCTAGGTCCTTATCTGGGATGGGCTTTCGTTTCTTCCTTGGGTGGCAGGAAACAACTTAAATCACATCCTGCAATCTTCCTCTTTCATGACTCAAATAAAAAACTGTGCTCAATCATCAAAGTTTTGGCTCTAAAGGGAGATTTTTTTTCCTTCTCACATAAATGTTTGTAGTGAGGTGAGGAACTTAAAAACTTTTCTTACTAACTTTTAATTTTGATATAACTTCAGATTTACAGTCATAGGAAAAGTAGAAAGAATTCTCAAATACTTGTTATCCAGAGTCTCCGAATGTTAACATTTTACCACATTCTCTTTTTTTTCTCTCTCTCTCCACACAAGGGCACACATATATACACATACATGCACAATTATAAATATAAATCAGGAAAGGATTATTATCCAGTTATTTATAGGCTTTATTCAGACTTTGCCAACTCTCCCACTAATATCCTTTATAGCAAAAGAAAAATCGCAGGATGTGTATTACATTGTCGTCATATCTTTTACTCTTTGTGTTTTATGACATAGGCATTTTTGAAGAGAGTCTGCCTATTATTTTGTAGCATGTCCTCCAGTTTGGGTTGGTTTGTTTTTGCTCAATTAGGTTCAGGTTATGTGTTTTTGGCAGGAACTCCACGGAAGTGATAGTGTCTGAATGAATCAGATCAGGAAGTGCATGATGGTGATTGTCCCGGTACTCACAATGTCAGCTTTTACCACATTAGATTAATATGGTGTCTACCAGGTTTTTCCATGGTAAAGTTATTATTTTTCTTTTGGAAATAATAAATTGTCCTGTGAAGAGATAGATACTTTGAGGCTATTATCCTTTTATTCCTCAAACTGTCACCCACTAGTTTTATAATTTATTGATGATACTTACCTGAGTCAATTATTATGATGATTACTAAATGGTTACTTCCGTAATTTCTTCTACATTAATTGTTTTTGAAAAAGAAGGAAGAACTTTCTAAAGTGAGACTTTTGGAATTCAGAAAATTCTTTTTTTCCCCCCTGAAGAGTTAAGCTCTTAGAATTGAATGCCCAACTTTTTTTTATTTTTTATTTTTCTGAGACAGAATCTCACTCTGTTGCCCAGGCTGGAGGCTGGAGTGCAGTGGCTCCATCTCAGCTCACTGCAACTTCTGCCTCCCAGGTTCAAGTGATTCTCCTGCCTCAGCCTCCAGAGTAGCTGGGACTACAGGCACATGCCATGATGCCTGGTTAATATTTTTTTCTATTTTTAGTAGAGATGGGTTTCACTGTATTAGCCAGGATGGTCTTGATCTCCTGACCTTGTGATCCCCCTGCCTCGGCCTCCCAAAGTACTGGGATTACAGGTGTGAGCCACCGCGCCTGGCCAGAGTGCTCAACTTTTGAAACCGTTGTCTTTTAAACTCAAGACTGATCAATGGCACCTTTGTTCTAGGTTGTACCCATCTCTCTCTGAGGCAGTGAATACCACTGGGATGATGGGCAAAGAGCCGCAGGGTCACAAGAGTAATTTCACATTCTTCTCACCACCTGCGTGACACTGGCCTCAGATAGTCGCTGATCACCTGCGAAGGTTTTCAGTATTGTGTATTTTCATATTTTTATGTCTTTACAGGTGTTTAAATATAAAATTAAGTGAAACTGTTATAAGGAATTATGGGATAGAAAATAAATATATTACCACTTCAAGAATATGATGTGAATGTAACTTAAACTGATAATAAAATGTTGCCAAATTGCTGACTTGATGAGCCTAATGAATATTGAAGACCCTCTAATAATAGTGGCTGCACCAAAAAAAAATTAAAGTTCAAAAACAATTGTTTTCTAAGTAGTTTACCCCTCTCTCCTCAGGCTTACACCACAAATTTGCTTGATTAACTCATCAAAGATTGTGCAAAGACTAACACTGTAATGTCAGCCCATGTTCATAATTCATTATTATGAATTCCAAATTAGGGAATTGGAATTGATAAATTAGTTTTTACGTAGTTTTGTGTTTTGAATTTGGTGATTGTTGAGGGTGAATGTATCTTCTGCCTGCTTCCTTTGTTTGTATCATCTCATAGAGGGTGTTAGAACTTGGTTTGCTTGCTGGGAGAGGTGGTGGATCCTGTAATATCCTCAAGACTTCCCACGTTTTCTGAGGCATAACCGTTTCTGTGCCACAACCTGGCAGATTCTCTCATCTTAGGGTATAGAGACACACTTTTAATAATATGTCTATGTTAGCAGCATCTTGCAAATATACAGTGTCTGAATTAGCTAATAGGAAAACATAAAAATAAACTGCCTTGAAACAAACAAGTTGAAAAACGCAATGTCCTATTTTCTTTATGGAGGTGTCAAAAAATACATCAGAAAAGAAGAAAGTTAACTGCTAAGAGTCTCCCAAGTTCTCTCTCACATTCTTGTATCTTAATGACTGATCACATATTTGAAGTCTCTACCTTGGAGACCTAAAATAAAAAGAAAACCACAATTATAGTTTCTCAGTCTGCATATTCTCTGTATTATGAATATCAAGATTTGGGTACATTATCTCTGGAGAGTTAATGTGATGTTTTAGTACACTCTTACACATTCGTTTTGTGCTTAAGTTCTAGGGAAATACTGTTTAACTATCTTAGCTTCTATAGTTTGTTTCATTGGCTCTTGTATACAAAGATGTCATTTCTACTTGGAGGTGACATTGACATTGTTTTAAGAAATTTGTATGTGTGGAGGGGATTGAGGAACACTGGAGAGAATATTAAATATTATCTTTTTAAAGCCACTTTGTAGACAATTTCTTATTTATTTTGTGAGCATTGAACAAGTGATTTTTTAAATCAACAGGTCCTTCTCATGAGGATGAAGACAACTTTTTCTCAGTGTTTCATACTCAAATCCCTCCAGAAGAATATGAAAAGCAGATGCAGAAAGTCAGTAAAGGTATGTTTTAATTCGTGTGATTATACATATTTTCACAAGGGAATACTAGCTGTTTACCGAAATAGTCATAAATGAAATGAGTTCATGTAATTTAATCCAGAGGTGAGTGGAAGCACATAGGGTTCCAGATGACACAAGGTTGGTCATTGTTGCAGCTTGTTGTTCAGAGTTGGTTATACCATTCTCTCTACTTTTGGATGCTTGAAATTTTGTATGATAATAAAGAGTTAAAAAAAAAAAAGCTGGCTGCAAGTAATGAAAACGTGGCTTAAGCAAAAACAAATCTGTGAAAAGAATTTTGGTGGGAGGCAGCTTGCTTTGGTTCCCAAGAGCATATGCTGTGGTCAGACCTTCAGAGTTTGGCTCAATTCTGCAATCCTAGAGAAGAGCCTGTGTGATCCAGCTGGGTCAGGGGCCTACCCATCGCTCAACTAACTTGTTCAACCCAGCAAGGTTTGGGGTCACTCTAGGAACATGGCAGCTATGTCACTACCAGACTGGAGAGAAGAGGACAGTTCAGTGAAGACAGTTTTGGTCAGATAACCCGTTGTTTTTTCCTTACTATTTATTAGAAGTGTATTTTAAAGAAACTATATGAGAAGTGTAAACATGGCTGCATTCACTTTGTGTTTTTAAAATGTTGTATTATTAAGAGTATATGAAACTTCAACTGAATAAACAAACCTCATATTTCAACTAAAGAGGCTGCATACAACTTGAATTATTATGGAAAGAAGCGTTACATTTTGTGTCTAAGGTGGCCATGCACCAGAAAAGTCACTCATACTTTAACTATTGGTAGCTGATTTAAAAAATAATGATGTGATTGTTAAAAAATGAAACCCCAGGTATAAAGCATAGATTTATTTGCCTATAAGCTTATATAACTTAAATTTGAATAACTCAAAGCTACTTTTGTTTGAAAAGAATTTAAATCAGGAGATCTTACTCTTTCCCTCATTCTTGCTAGCTGTTTTCATCAAAAATTTTTTAAATGGTTATATCTGTATTGACTCTTTGGTAACTGGCTATAAACACACCAATTGACTAGCTCCCTTAACCCTTTTTATTCAGGTAACCTCCCTTACAAAATTACAAAATTAACAAAATGTACAAAATTAATTTTTTTGTAAACTTTGCCTGGATTGAGCTCATGACTGGTGGTTTTTTTTTTTTTTTTTTTTTTTTTTTGTGAGACGGAGTTTCACTCTTGTTACCCAGGCTGGAGTGCAATGGCGCGATCTCGGCTCACCGCATCCTCCGCCTCCTGGGCTCAGGCAATTCTCCTGCCTCAGCCTCCTGAGTAGCTGGGATTACAGGCACGCGCCACCATGCCCAGCTAATTTTTTGTATTTTTTAGTAGAGACGGGGTTTCACCATGTTGACCAGGATGGTCTTGATCTCTTGACCTCGTGGTCCACCCGCCTCAGCCTTCCAAAGTGCTAGGATTACAGGCTTGAGCCACCGCGCCCGGCTGTGACTGTTTTTTTTTTTATTTTTTGGACTTTAATGTGGAAATGCATCCTGTTTCGTAGGGCAAACTGCATGTGCTATTGAAGGAGATGCTCCTTCTTCATGCTTATTTTCAGAGCTTTAATGAAAGGTTCATATGGTCTTGTTTTAAAATCTTTTAATGTGACACAGAGAAAACAAGATATTTTATAAAGGGAATATGAATCCACAAGTAGTATTATTTTTTATTATTTTTTTATTGCATTTTAGGTTTTGGGGTACATGTGAAGAACATGCAAGATTGTTGCACAGGTATACACATGGCAGTGTGATTTGCTGCCTTTCTCCCCTTCACCTATGTTATTCTTATTTTAAACACTCAGGATATGAATATCTCAGACTTTCACTCAAACCTCTTCTGAAAGGTTGAGGAAAATTGGCAAACTCGGATGGGCTTTAGGGGTTTGTGCAGTTGGGAGCCAGGACATGGGACACTAACTCCCAGACCTTGCTCGAAAGGCAGGTTAAACAAGATGCACTGGTCAGAAAGGGTAATGGTAAATTAATAGAAGAGTAGGGATGACCTAGTCTTTAGGGAAATTTTTGTTTTGTATCAAGACTGAAATAAAATATATAGTTTAAAGTTTCCCTAACATCAGTGATTTCTTCTTCACATGTCTGTCTTGAAGTTCTTTTCATATTCCCCATCATTCTCATGGAGTCAACCGGAACAAGTTTGATACATGATAATGAATAACAGAAGAAGTTTTATGAGAACTTAATTCAAAGTTATTGTAGCACGTTTATCTTTTTAAGACTAGATCTCCATTATATATTAGGTCTCTGGATCTGGAATTTAGAAGTTAGTTCTTCTGTGTGGGTTTTATTTCTTACATATTTTAATACATGCTTGAAGTGAACTTTTAGCATAATTGACACTTTTAATTATGAAAAAATTTTGGACTTTTTAAATACTAGATTTTACCTGTGATGTGGAAAGAAATGAATCATTGATCAAAGCAGGAAAGAAACCTTTCTCAAATACAGAAAAGATTGAGCTCAGGGGCAAACACAACCGGGATTTTATTAAGAGAAACATTGAGGTATGTACTTAGAAATGTAGAAGCCAGAATTTGGGGCAAAATGAGTTGAAAAAATGGCAGTAGTTTTGTTCAGTGTCTTTAAATATTTTTTCAACCATCATAAATGTATATATGATTGAATTAGTAGATAATATTGAATGAAAACTTTTATAAACCAGTACTTCATTATTTCTGTGTTCAATCCACTGTCCTATCCTATCTCTTTTTCAAAATGCTAGCTGTAACTAGCATTTGTTTCACTCTCCAGAAATAGTCTGTTTCCTGCAATTTGCAAAACATTTATTTAGATAATAGCTTTGGACAATGTTTCTCAGATTTTAAATTGCATATTAGTAAATTTTTTTTTTTTTTTAAGTAATGAGACTGATTTTATAGTTAATACGTTTAGAACTTTGAATGGAAAATGTGCCTGGCAGAGCAGCAGGGCTGGGCTGGAGAAGCCTTCTGGTTGTCTGCCTCTTTGCTGAGCCTTTCCACAGCTGGTCACTGGCCTTGATTAGCTTCTGCTTCAAGCACCCATCTTTGGTCTTATAGGCCTTGCAGCCTGACTTGGTTTGTCGTTAAGGCAGACTTAGACTAAACAAGGGCACAAAGATTCCTGGGTTAGACCAGAATGCTCATTAATTAATTTACAACAGGAAATATAGTGAGGACGACAGAAGCTCTGCTCACCCTTTGAGCAGCGGCACTAGAAAACCACCTGGGCGAGTGGGGAGTATTGACAAGGGAGAGCTGAGTAATTCCTCACACTTCAAGCCTGATCCTTTCCCCACAATTGGCACATCATTTCAGGCAGACTGGATTTGTGGAGCAGCCTGCCACTGCTGGGACTGGCCTCGGGGACTGTCGATTCTTGTGCTCCACATTCATATGATCTTCTTCAGGAAACCTTCTCCATCTTGATCTGCCTCTATCTTTGCACTGGTCCCTTGTATGTTTATTTACTGTTCAATTTTCAAGAGCAATAGAGCTTCTCCCTTACCTGGGTTCTTGCTGACACAGATAGCAGCTCTACCGTAGATTTCTCTTTCTCCTTTTTAACAATAGTAATTGAATATTTAAATTCCTCATATGATAGTCTTGAAATTTAAAAGCAGTTTCATTTAGGGAATAAGTGCCCCAAAGAAAGTAGCAAGAAGATTTCTTCCAAATGTCTCAGCAAGTATGTTTTTGCATTTATATTTGTTATCTATAATAGGTTTGAAAACTGCTCATATTATTTTTTTAATAAAATGTCTGTTGGAATGGTTAACAGGAGGGCCTGCTTATAGGGATGATATCTTTGCATATTAGAGAATGGCGCTTTACAAACATTTTGACCTAAATAAAATTACATAGCAAATGTAAAATGCCTAATCTCACAGATTTTCTCTTTTTGTATCTGTATTGTAGAATTCTCAGGTCCCATTTTTATTTTCCTGAACTATGAATTTCTTTGAGTATATAATGTTTTCCATTAATAAATTCTGTAGTTGGCCAAGGAATCAAGAAACCCAGTGGTTATGATTGACAGAGAGAAGAAAAGGCTGATTGAGCTTTTGAAGGACTTGGATGATAAAGATTCTGGGCTCTCCAGTTCTGAGGTAGGTAAACTCTGATAGTCAGGGAACTCTACACTTCTTAATTTTGATTTTATAAAGTCATATTATTGACCCAGCAGCACAATTTACAATAATTTTTCAGATACGGAGACATTCTTCTCTGACTTTAAAAAAATCCTGTTTTACTAACACAGGAACAGATAATAACATCCTGCATGTTCTCACTTTAAGTGGGAACTAAATGATGAGAACACATGGACTCGTAGAGGGAAGCAACACACAAGGGGCCTGTTAGAGAGAAGAGGCTGGGAGGAGGGAGAAGGTCAGGAACAATGACTAATGGGTGCTGGGCTTAATGCCTGGGTGACAGAATCATCTGTACAGCAAACCCCCATGACACAGATTTACCTGTATAACAAACCTGCACATGTACCTTGGAACTTAAAATACAAGTTGAAAAATTTTTTTTAAAATCCTGTTTTGTACCATTATTTTTATCGAAGTTTTCAAATTTATTCTTGGTCAATTCATTACTGACTTTCGAAGGATGATTTTATGTCATGCTAAGTAAGAGTGATTATACATTGGTTATCACAGTAACTTCTGCTTGTGCTTTGATATGCTTATTACTGATGACATATGAAGGTATTTTTCTGTCTCTTTTTTTTTTTTTTGAGACGGAGTTTCGCTCTTGTTACCCAGGCTGGAGTGCAATGGCGCGATCTCGGCTCACCGCAACCTCCGCCTCCTGGGCTCAGGCAATTCTCCTGCCTCAGCCTCCTGAGTAGCTGGGATTACAGGCACGTGCCACCATGCCCAGCTAATTTTTTGTATCTTTAGTAGAGACGGGGTTTCACCATGTTGACCAGGATGGTCTTGATCTCTTGACCTCATAATCCACCCGCCTTGGCCTCCCAAAGTGCTGGGATTACAGGCTTGAGACACCGCGCCTGGCCTGTCTCTTTTTCTTATTGTCCCTAAACCTGGTTTTATGGTATTTCAGTGTCGTCTTCAGTAATCCTAAAGAATTCCATTCCATTCCTGCCCAGTTAACCTTGAGCAGCCAGTTTCCTGGAGAGTCCTGGGGTTAACAGGAGGGCCTGCTCATGTGAAAGTCCGGGGTTGGGGGAAAGAGACTGAACTGAAAGAGGGGAACAGCATGTAATGGGGGTGGAGTGGGGTGAACACAGGTATTTATAGGGCCTGGGAAGGTCACCTAAAGAGTGCTGTGGCCCAGTGTTTGCACTTGTTTATATTACTAAGCTTGAGGAATATTCTTTGCTTCCATGAAGAAATATACTCTCCTGCATTCCTTGAATCACTTAGCCCTAGCGTCTATTCCCCTGTGTGTAATAAGGATGTGATGGAGTGAATGCTGCTGGCGCCCTGCCCGTATCCCCTTTCCCTGACACCTGTCTGTGCATCCATGCCCCAGCCCTGTGCTAAAGGTGCATAGCTGTTCCCTTGCCTGGAGAATTTCCCTGAGCCAAATGGGAATCAAACAGCCCAGGATATCACTCCTTCCCCACCCCAGACCCCTTACCTAGAGGTGGGATTAGCTCTATGGTGTAAAGTGTCCTCCAGGGCTTCATCAGGGATTAGACTGAAGCTGGTCTTCAGCTGAGACCACATCCTAGCTTGTCTCTGTGTCCTTGCCCTAGCCTGTGTTCCTCATGTTCCTGCTCCCAAAGGCACTCTCCCAGTGAACTACTCGAAACGAGAATCCTTGTCTTAGTTTCCACAGTGAGGGACACAGAGATTCAGACGGTAGTTTTTTTGGCTAGTGGGTCCAAAAGCAGTGCATGTGCAGTGATCCCTGTGGCCAAGAAGGGAGGATGTGCCCGTTCAACGGGAGTTAACACTCAGCATCCACTGGTGGCTACTCCATGGAAATCCCAGACCAGGGCTGCCTGGATCTTCCAGTTTTTTAAGAGAAACTAGAAATTCAGATTTTTAAATGGGAAACATTAAACTTACAAAATGTTCACAACTGCTCATATTTAAAAAAAGGTCTGTGTGGGCAAACAAAATATCCTACTTTCCACCAAAAATCAAAAACTTATCTGCAGAATATCACATATAATAATCCTCTACATAATCCTGCCTGAGACAGTGAGGTCCCAGTGGGGGCTGTGTCTAGGAACAGATGAAGGTGTTGCTATGCCTGGGGCTGATGAAATAAGGGAAAGGGGTGGCGAGGGAAACTGCTAATGCCCACATAATTCTGAGATATTTTAGCTTCGCTGACTCATGGTACAGTCATGTGCCACATAATGATGTTTTGGTCAACATGCATATATGACAGTGGTCCCATAAGATAATAATTGGAGCTGAAAAATTCCTATCACCTGTGACACTGTACCTCTATAGTTTAGAGTGTGCTCCTTGTACTTATATATAAAAAAGTTAATTGTAAAACAGCTTTAGGCAGGTCTTTCAGGAGGAATTTCAGAAGACAGCATGGTTATCATAGGAGATGACAGCTCCATGCTTGTTACTGCCCTTGAAGACCTTCCAGTGGGACAAGATATGGAGTGGATGATAGTGATGCTGATGATCCTGACCCTGTGTAGGCCTAGGCTAATTGTGTCTTAATTTTTCACAAAATTTTAGATATAGAAAAAGAAAATTTTAAAATAGGAAAAAGCTTATAAAGAAAGAAACTATTTTTATACAGCTGTATCCTATGTTTGTGTTTTAAGCTGTTATTATAAGAGAATGAAAAAGTTAAACAAATATAAAAGTAAAAAAGTTATAGTAAACTAAGATTCATTTCTTATTCAATAAAGAAGAATAATTTAAAATAAATTGAGTGTACTCTAAGTGTAGAGTGTTTATAAAGTCTATGGTAGCAGCCAGTAATGTCCTAGGCATTCCCAGCCACTCACCACTTACCCACTGACTCACCAGAGCAACTTCCAGCCCTGCAGGTTCCACTCATGGTGAGTGCCCCATACAGGTGTGCCATTAGCAAAAAAAATTTTTTTTTGAGATGGAGTTTTGCTCTTGTTGCACAGGCTGGAGCGCAATGGTGTGATCTGGGCTCACTGCAACCTCCGCCTCCCAGGTTCAAGCAATTCTCCTGCCTCAGCCTCCCGAGTAGCTAGGATTACAGACATGCTAATTTTGTAGTTTTAGTAGAGACAGGGTTTCACCGTGTTGGCCAGGTTGGTCTCAAACTCCTGACCTCAGGTAATCTGCCTGCCTCGGCTGCCCTAAGTGCTGGGATTACAGGCGTGAGCCACTGCGCCCAGCCTTAAAAAGATTTTTATACTATATTTTTATTGTACCTTTTCTATATTTTAATATGTTTAGATTCACAAATACTTCCCATTGTGTTACAGTCATCTACAACACAGTAACTACAAAATACGCTGTGTGGGTTTCTAGCCTAGGAGCAATAGGCTTTGCAATGTGGCCATGGTGTGTGGTACATTCTACCGTCGAGGTTTGTATAAGTACATCCTGTGGTTTTTATGCAGTGACTGAATTGCCTAATGATACATTTCTTAGAACATATCCCTGTCATTAAGTAACACATAACTATAATTTGTCTACTTTATTAACAAAAGCTTAGATAACCGTAAGAATTAAGGGATCTGGGTTTCATTCTGGTTTTGTTATTAATTGTGAAATTGTGTAAACTGCTACCATGGTCTTGCTGGGCATCAAACTATGGCATGCTAGATTTTCTTTATACAGTCTAGGAATGCTTTCGTAATGACTTTTTGTTAATAATATTGCCTTTTGCATATTATTTTTGTTAGTATGTAGGTCTCATCTTTCTATTTTAAGCTCATCTCAATCATTTTAGTTTTAGATCTTTTATAAGTACTGTGTAGCTGGGCTTTGCTGTTGCTTTTGTGTTTTCATCTTTGTTTCTTCATCCTTCATCTTTTGTTATTATCAATATGAGGCTAGTTAGGTTACTCATCTTCATTATGACCACATACTTTTTGAATTGTTTCCTGACATCAAATTGTAGGTTTTATTTATCATATTTGTTTTTGTTTATCTCCCTTTCCTCTTGTGGTCTGGAAATTTAATATCTTGTTTCTGATCTGATACGGTTAACCTTCAAGTTTTAAAAATACATTAAAATGAAGATTTTCTTTTCAACTTTAATAATTAGTTTCTAAAGTTTCATATTTTAACAAGATTGGATCTTTGGTGTACTTTTATTTCCCTGAGTTTCATTTTCTTTCCTCCAGAATATATTGAGATCATCTGGAATTTTAGTTGTAGAATATTATACTTTTTTTTTTTTTGAGACGGAGTTTCGCTCTTGTTGCCCAGGCTGGAGTGCAATGGTGCATTCTCGGCTCACCGCAACCTCCGCCTCCTGGGTTCAAGCAATTCTCCTGTTTCAGCCTCCCAAGTAGCTGGGATTACAGGCATGTGCCACCACATCCAGCTAATTTTTTGCATTTTTAGTAGAGACGGGGTTTCACCATGTTGGCCAAGATGGTCTCAATCTCTTGACCTCGTGATCCACCCTCCTTGGCCTCCCAAAGGAATATTATACTTTTTAATCTTTACCTTTAAAAACGCTGTGCTTCTTGTGTGTCAGAAATCTTTATCAACAAAATTTAGCCAAAATTTTTAGCCACATCATTAACAGCGTATTTGGACCCAACAAATTATTTATTTTTATAAATCATTCCTTGAATTATTTTTCTGGAACTTATTTTATTTTTTATTAATTTTTTAATTGCATTTTGGGTTTTGGGGTACATGTGAAGAACATGCAAGATTGTTACATAGGTACACACATGGCAGTGTGATTTGCTGCCTTCCTCCTCATCACCTATATCTTGGCGTTTCTCCCCATGCTATCTCTCCCCAACTCCCCATCCCCTGCTGTCCCTCCCCTATCTCCCCACAACAGACCCCAGTGTGTAGTGCTCGCCTCCCTATGTCCATGTGTTCTCATTGTTCAACACCCGTCTATGAGTGAGAACATGCAGTGTTTGATTTTCTGTTCTGTGTCAGTTTGCTGAGAATGATGGTTTCCAGGTTCATCCATGTCCCTACAAAGGATA